CTCCCAGGTATTTCTAATCTGCAGCCACATCAGAGAACCACGTTATAAAACCAAGGCCAGGGGCGCCTGGGTGGCGCAGTCGGTTAAGCGTCCGACTTCAGCCAGGTCACAATCTCGCGCTCCGCGAGTTCGAGCCCCGCGTCAGGCTCTGGGCTGATGGCTCAGAGCCTGGAGCCTGTTTCCGATTCTGTGTCTCCCTCTCTCTCTGCCCCTCCCCCGTTCATGCTCTGTCTCTCTCTGTCCCAAAAATAAATAAACGTTGAAAAAAAAAAACCAAGGCCAGAGCTGGCAAAAAGGCAGGCACCCATCATTCTTAATTACAGAAAACAGACCCCAAGGCTATTACATTTCCTTCAGCAAGAAGAGGGAACAAAGACGACAAAAACCAGGCCTGAGATCTGAAACTTAATCACATATTCCAAGACCATCTGTGTTGTGCCTGGACCCCACCACCCACACCCAGCACCGTGGGGTCAGCCCGGTTTTAGGCGGCTCCCAGAAAAGAGCAGTCACGCCAGGCCTGCTTCTGGACTCCCCAGGTCCCCAAGATGTCCCAGCAAAGGACCGTTATCTGACCTGCAAGTACCACTCCTGTCCTCAGGGAGCCCTCAGCCGCTGTCCAGGAGGCCTCGGCCTGGGGGCTCCCAGTGCCATTCCCGGGGGCCCGGCTCCCACAGTGGAGGATGCTGCTTCAGACTCACCCATCCCCACACTGGTCACCACAGCAGGTGAGCATGTCCTCGGCGGACACCTCCACATTGACGTGGCCATTGGTGAGGATGCAGATCCGGTCAGAAATGGCTTCCACAGCCCCAAATGCCTGCAGGAAAACAAGCCCCACGCAGGTGAGCCCCACTCCTGGACTGTGGGCCCCACCGGCCACCGGCCACAGCGTCAGAGGACCACAGCAGGCGGCTCAGACCTTGCTGACTAGTCTCTCCCAAGGTCAGTGAAGGTCTTGGTGCTCAAGCTGGTCTTTAAAGTTAGGAGACCCATCCACCCCACATCTCTATCTGGTCACTCAGCTCATTTCTAAAATGTGGTTTCTGTTAACAGAAAAAACAGCTCACACAAAGGACAAATACTGTATGATTTCACTAATACAAGGTATCTAGGCTGGTCAGTAAGAGACAGAAAGGAGAGGGGTGGTTGTTGGGGGGTAGGGAACGGAGGGGCAGTGTTTAATTTCCACACTTACAGATGACAAGAGTTCTATGGATGGACGATGGTGATGCGTTCACAATAACGTGAATGTACTTAACGCCACTGAACAGTACACTTAAAAATGGCTAGGACAGGGGCGCCTGGGTGGCTCAGTTAAGCATCTGCTTCAGCTCAGGTCATGATCTCGCGGTCCGTGAGTTCAAGCCCCACATCGGGCTCTGTGCTGACAGCTCAGAGCCTGGAGCCTGCTTCAGATTCTATGTCTCCCTCTCTCTCTCTGCCCCTCCCCTGCTCACACACTCTCTCTCTAAAAAATAAATGATTAAAAGAAAAACTTTTAATTAAAAAAATGGCTAAGGTAGCTCAGGTCATGATCTCACAGTTCATGGTTTTGAGCCCCAGCTCAGGCTCTGTGCTGACAGCTCAGTGCCTGGAACCTGCTTTGGACTCTGCGTCTCTCTGCCCCTTGCTTGCTTGTGCTCTGTCTCTGTCTCTCAAAAATGAATAAGCGTTAAAAAAAATTGCCGACCAAAAATGGCTAAGATGGTTAATATACCACGTGCACTTTACCACAGTTAAACAAAATTAAGACAGCTCATTGACAGAGATGGATGTTTCTCCACGAAGCAGAGTAGGAGTCTAATGGTGCTTGCTGATGGCCTGGGACAGCGCATCAAACAGAAAAATAGACAGCCTCACAGCACACACACGGGCCACCCAGAGCACTTTGCGTATCTATCTATTCTTCCACCACAGATCTTCATAATTTTTATGTTGACAGAAACGAAGGCTCAGCAAGTTCCCATAACTTGGCTAGTCACGGCTGATCTGACAGCTGTCCCCCCGCCTCACTCCAGCCCCTCTCACCCAGCAGGAACCACAGGAACCCTGGTCTCGGATCTCTTTGATGGTCGGGCAGTTAGGCCAGTGTTCCCGGGCATCGAAGTTTTCAGGCAGAACCATGTCCTCGGCAAACGAAACTCTAGATAAAGGAAGGCCTTCGTGACAAGCTTGCATGTCACAAACCACCCCCACCCCTAAAGAGGCCAGTGACTTCGGGCCAGGCCACCGCCTGGCAAGGGAGACACAAGGGAGACAAGCCCAAGATGATGGCTGCAGGGCTGTCCCCTGGGAATTCTGTAGAACCAAACCAGGAATTCTACTGCTCAACACAGCTTCTCATTCCCTATGCTGTTTTCCAGTCTTATTTTCTGGGGTATCTTTCAAGAGTTTTGGCCACAAAGTCCACAAAACTGTGTTTCGTCCTCCCCTAACCCGCCCCACACAGGGTCTGCCCAGGGTCCTTGCATCAATTTTAGTATCTTCACCACCGTGTTAAGTCTCATAGCCTTTCCATCTGTGTTGTCAGAGATTTCTAATGCTTCTCACAAGAGTAATGTCTACATGGGGGCGCCTGGGTGGCGCAGTCGGTTAAGCGTCCGACTTCAGCCAGGTCACGATCTCGCGGTCCGTGAGTTCGAGCCCCGCGTCAGGCTCTGGGCTGATGGCTCAGAGCCTGGAGCCTGTTTCCGATTCTGAGTCTCCCTCTCTCTCTGACCCTCTCCCGTTCATGCTCTGTCTCTCTCTGTCCCAAAAATAAATAAACGTTGAAAAAAAAAAAAAAGAGTAATGTCTACATGAAAATGCCCACTGCAGAGTTCTCTAGAAAAAAATGGAACATTAATGGAGATCATATGACTTTTCTTAAATTCTCCTTAAACCATTTAAGACTGGGTCTATCCCGGTCATGCAGAACCAGACCTGGGGCCTTTTCCACTGGGGCTCTGAGACACCTGCAGCAGCACAAAACACGGGCACCGGGGGCTGAGCCTGTCAGGTGGCATCCTTGCGGCTCTGGGAGGGGGAGACCTGTGGGTGCCAAGGCCTCCTTTCTTCCCTCCTTCCCCCTGTGCCAAACACACACCTGCGGTTCCCAGGGCAGCGGGGCAGGTGCAACAGAGTATCTATCCCCCAGGGAGCAGGCACTCACCTCTGGGGCAACTTGGGCCCACCCAGGATGGTGCCGCACAGCCTCCTCAGGTAGCTCGGCTCCACATGGTAGAAATTGTGTCCAGCCTGGAAGAGAGCCCCGCCCACAGCAGTTAACAGAAGGGGTGTCTAGGGATGCGGGTGGATGGAAGTATGCACACCGCCCACATGCAACGCCTGACAAGGCCAGGGCTCCCATCCAGCTCAGCAGAGCGAGGGGGGTTGGGGCCCTCTTAGAGAACACACGTGTCCCCAAATTCGTGGTGAAACCTAACCCTTGATGGCACCTGGAAGTGAGGCCTTCGGGAGATGATTAGGTCATGAGGGTGGAGACTTCATGAATGAGATTAGTCTCCTTACAAAGGATACCTCAGAGAGCTGGCCTGCCCCTCCCACTAAGCGAGGACACAATGAGCAGTCACCCATCTGCAACATAAGAGTGCCCTCCCTAGAGCCCAACCATGCTGGCGCCCTGAAATTGTACTTCCAGCCTCCAGAACCACAAGCAATACTTTTCTATTTATAAGCCACCCAGTCTGTGGTATTTTGTTACAGCAGCCTGAAAGGACAAGACAGGCACCCTGCAAGCAGGCCACTATCAGCCCAGAGCGAGCCACATGGGCAGTGCACAGCTCCCAGGCCAGTGGGTGTCTCCTCTGATCTGCTATGTTTACTGATGTCAAGAGAGACGCTCTGCAGCCCTGAACGTGGCTTATTCCTCATTTCTTAATTCCTGAAGCCCCAGAGCTGTGGGCCAGCCAGAAGCGAGGTGCTGCCACTACTGATGAGCACTAGCACCTACCATGGTGGGGTTCAGGGTCTTCCTGATTGTGAACCCTTCCAAAGCTCGTTTATCACCCAGTGCACTTCTGTGGATACACACACACACACACACACACACACACACACACACACAGGGAAGGGAGCAGGTAGGCATGGGCCTGAGTGGCCAGGACTCTCAATCAGACCAACTGTCCAGGACAGAGTGTCCTGTGGGCCACAGCTGCAGCCACCTCCCTTGGGAGTCAGAATGCACAGACCGATCCCCAAAAGGGACACGCACAGAAGTCCCCACAGCCCACCTTCCATGTAGTGTTACGCTTGTTAACATAGTCGACCAGCTCATCCGACAGGAGCTGGAGAGGTGGTCTGCTCTGGGCATTGGTCAGCACCACCAGGCAGCTAAGAGTGGCCAAGAGCTGCCACATTTTGGATGCTGGATCTTAGAGTCACCTAGAAAAGAAAACACACAAGACATCAGGACACTTCTTTCAGTTCAAGTGCTTAACATACACAAGGGTGCCATCTCTGATGGCATGGTTCCAGGGCCAGAAACAACCCAGTAGTCAAAACACCCACGTCCCCTTCCCGGCTCTGCCATCTCTGCCCCCTTCTGTTCCTCAGTGTCCTCTCCTGGAAAGCTTGGGTGTGGTGGCAGACAGCCCTCAAGGACCATGGGCTCCCAGGCCTCGTATCATCAAAATCCCAACCTGTGCCCACATCACAGGGCCGTGCCATGGACTGAACGTCCGTGCCCCCCAGCCCCCCAAATTCATGGTGAAATCCTAACCCCAATGTGGTGGGATTACGAGGTGGAGCCTGTAGGGGGTGATCAGTCAGGAGGATGGAACCCTTGTGATGGAACTAGTTTCTTATAAGACACCCCAGAGAGCTCCCTTTCCCTTCGGCCATGTGAGGACTCCACAAGAAGTTTGGTGACCTGGAAGAGGGCCCTCATCTGACCATCCCGGCACCCTGACCTCAGACATCCCCCCATCATCCAGAACCAAGAAACAAATTTCCGTTCAGAAGCCACCCAACGTGTAGTATGTGTTGTAGCAGCCAACGGGCTAAGACGGACTGTATTTGCTTCTCCTCCAGATGCCTGGGAGACAGGACAGAGAAAACCACATGGCTGCATTGCAAGCGGCGAGGCCCTTTTGCAGCTGCATCCTGGTGATGCATGTGGCCTGGGTCTCGGGGGCTGTCCTCAAGCTGTGTCTGAGTCACTGCTGTTCCCTGGATGGTCTGTGGCTATCTTGGGAGCTGAGAGGATGGGGCGCGCACTGACCCGCTGCCTGTCATAACCCCAGGGCCCAGGCCACAAAGCAGGATCGGTGACTCCACGAAACAAATCAATGAACGCAGATACTAAGGCTAAATTGAGTTCAGTGCCCTCCCTACTATTGCCAAACTGCCTCTCCATGGGTCTGTAGAACCAAGTCTTGGAGACTTTTTTCCAAGTCAGTGCTCTGAAAGAGTCAACAGCCTCTGAGATTAGGTCCCAAGTAGAGGCCCAATGAGAAAAGAAAAATACAAAAGAAAATACATTTCATGAGCCACATTCTGGATATAGAACAAGCAAAACACAAGTGAGCCAAGCCCAGCGTGTGCCAAACTCAGCAGAACCAGGGAAGCAGGGCTGGTTTGGCCAGTGGCACAAGTCTGAGATTTTTCTCTGGTTTTTCCAGTCAGCCAAGGGCTCTGTTTCCTGGTTCAAAGTGGGAGCTCCCGAGAAGGGAAGTCATCCCATTACAACCACAGTCCTTAGATCTTGGACTGGCTTGCAAGTCAGGAGACGGGCAGTTTCCCGCTCGGCCTCTGAATCACGCTCTTAGGCAAGCAGCTCTAATGAAAGCAAGAAATGCTCTTCTGGGTGTCACAGCACCATGGGGCCTTGTGAGATGCCCACACAGTGGGGAGTGGCGGCGGTGGGGAGAGGGGGAGGATTTCCTGTCCCTGACCTCTGGGGCTTCCAGAGTGACCCACCTCCTCCGGGGTCATTGGGTTACAGGAAGATGCACTGAACATGCCGCCTCCCACAGTGAAGTACGTCAGAGGGAAGATTTAAACTTGACGGCTGCCTCAGCAACAATTCCTCCCAACGAATAACTATGATGGCAGCAAACGATTCTAGAAAAGAGCACTGATGGAGGCTTGCTTTCTGAGATAGTCGGTACATTATAAAACCCTGGGTGACTCCTGCCTGAGAACAGTCTGGTCAACAAAACAGACCATTCAGAAGCATCTCCTATGTGTGGGTGCTCAGCGTATGTGGTATAGGTGGGTGAGGAAACAGCACGTGTCATAAATGGTGCTTGCACATCTGCATCTTGGAAAAAAATAGTAAGGCTGAACGTTTACACTTAGTTTCTCACACACGAGAAGCGCTACACGGAACAAAATTCTTGAATTAAAACAGAAACCGTATGAAGAAAATAAACGCAGTTTAAACAACCTATTATCGGAGTAAGATACTTAAGACTGACGTAAAACCAAGGGACAAGGCTTGCTTACGTAAAGATAAAGCCACTCTTCTAGAAAACAAAATAAAAAGTGACCAGCTACAAAACAGTACTTACATATACGCAAAGCTTCATTTCCTTAATATGCAAAAGGCGCCTAAAAATCTGAATAAAAACAGGGGTGGCTCAGTCGGTTGAGCATCTGACTCTGACGTCAGCTCAAGTCATGATCTCATGGTTCGTGGGTTCGAGCCCCATGATGGGCTCCACGTGGGGATTCTATCTCTCCCTCTCTCTGCCCCTATCCTGCTCATGCTTCCTCTCTCCCCCTCCTTCTCTGCTTCTGTCTCCCACAAAATAAAAAACTTAATAAACTTGAAAAAGAAACCTGAAAAAGCAGAATAAAAAAGTGGCAAATGGACACACACAATGAAGTAGAGGAAAAAGAACTACAAATGGCCAGCAGATATTAAAAGATGCTCCACCACAGGGAGGTACAGATAAAATTAAGGACTGGCAAAGGCAGACAGCTGGACAGCTCCTGGGGGGTGGATTAGGCGTGGGGAGGCAGAGGTGCTGTGCTTATGAACCCCATGGAGACGACTGGCCTGGCTTTTTGTTTTTTTTTTTAAATGTTTATTTATTTTTGAGAGAGAGAGCATGAGCAGGAGAGGGACACAGAGAGGGGGAGACAGAGAATCCAAGGCAGACTCCAGGCTCTAAGCTGTCAGCACAGAGCCCGAAGCAGGCCTCGAACTCATGAGCGGTGAGATCATGACCTGAGCCCAAGTCGGATGCTTAAGCGACACCACCCAGGTGCCGCCCCCCACCCCCACCATTTCTATTAATTTGGCCATCTGCACACACTTTGACTCAACAATTTGACATTCAGAAATGTATCCTACGAGCTTCAAATTCACAGATATAGGTATACAGATGTTTACTGAATATTCTTTGTATCACAGAAGACCAGAAACAAAGCAAGTGTCTACTAACCGCAACTGTGAAGTTACAGTAAATGATTAATAGAATACAAAGTAACCATTAAGATAGGAACTAGCTGAAGCGAGAATCACATTGTACTGATAAGCAAATAAGCCCAAGATACCCGTAAGTGGAAAAAAGCAAGCAGCCGGTGAGTCATGGTAAGCGTGTGAGACCATGAAGCAATATACATTCACATTACCGTTACCACATGTAAAACATATGGAAAAACATATGAAAGCAATATCTGTGACGGGGAGATTTATTTTCCACTAACCCCCCCCCCTTTTTTTTAAATTAAATTAACATATTATATTCAAAGTTTTGGTCTTTTAGGAAGAGTAGCCGGAGCTACCAAAACCCCTGAGCCCAAAGGCACTTCCAGTTGATTTCCAGTCAACAGTGAGGCCTTCTCCCTAGTGACTTTCTGCTCAAAACACAGAACACCTTCTTTCCAGTGACTCACAGGGAGGCTGGTGTTCACCAGACCACATCAGGGACCCACGTGACCTCCAACTGTTAGGTGAATGTCTATGTCCTCACATGGCAGAAGGGGCAAGGGAGCTGAGGTCTTTTTTAAAAAATTTTTTTAAGTTTAATTTGAAAAAGAGAGAGAGGGAGAGAGAGAATCGCAAGCAGGCTCCATGCCATCAGTTCAGAGCCTGATGCGAGGCTCAGACTCACCAACCTCAAGATCACGACCTGAGCCAAAATCAAGAGATGGATGCTTAACCGACTGAGCCACCCAGGCACCCCTGAGGTCTCTTTTAGAACTTCTGGGCAAAGAAGCAAAGCAGTCAGATTCCTTCCTTTTTCACGGCACCCTCTGAATTACAGCCGGTACCTTCACATTTTCCCCAGATGTAAGAACCTGGCGCACAAACACTGGAGTATACACTCTGGGCACGTGGGCATTGAGACCCATGCCAGCAGGTTGAGACCTGAAGAGCCCATCAGAATCACACCCTATCCTCGGCTTTCACTGTGACCTGTCAGGCAGGGGTGACAGGAATGTGGCTGGGTCCTGAGCCAGGCCCAGGTGAATGCTCCCTATATGTCTCCAGGTGGCCCCCGGGGCTTAGCCATCTGCTGAGATATTACATCATAGGCAAGTGGAGAATGGGAGCAATTCCATGGTAGCTTGGACTTTACACAAGATTCCTCTGGTTTTTCTGGTGGCAGAGACCACAGCCACGACCCATTTATCGCACGGTTCTCAGTTCCTGCACTGACGGCTGCCATGGCCATACCCGGGCCTAATTCCTGAGGTCTGCCAGGCCCCCCAGATGTGACGCTTTGGTGCACTTGCCCCTTTCTTTCGGTTCCACAGGCCCTCCTCTAAATTTCCTATTAACTTCATTCTCCCTACTCACAACTCTGTGTCAGGAAGAACCAGGGGCCCCAGTGAACTTCAGAGATGTGAGCCTGGAGGGCGGGAGCTCATCTTGAACCAGATTCCCAGCCCCACTAGGACTGAGCACTTGGGAAACTCCTCTTTTCAGCCCAGCCCTCCAGGCACAGGGCTGTGGCATTTGGTGGAAAGTCGGGGTTGAAGTGGTTAATAGCTGCGGTAGCCTGTGGGGCGGAGGAGCACTGGGCTTGGGAGTCAGGAGACCTGGATTCAGATCTTCCACTTACTAACTGTGCACCCTTGAGTACCAACCTGTACTGAGCCTCAGTTTCACCACCTGTAAGATGGGGCTAATGACCATTCATTGCTCCAGGTGGAAATCAAGAGTGTCATGAGGGTGGGCAGAAGCCCCTGGTACAGCGCCTGCTCTACAGTAAGAAAGCAATAAAGGGCTGCTCACGTGGGCACGTTTAATGCCCAGGTCCAACTCACTGCCCTGCTTCCTTCCCTCCTCCGTCTTCCCTTCTTCCCCCTACTTCTAGCCTGTGCCAGAGAATTCTGGTTCACTCCAAACCTGTCCACAATACCCCTCTATCACAGAGAGTCTGAATTAAAATGAGGTTTTAATCTCAAAGAACCTCCAAGTGAGTTTCCATTTTGAGAGTCTGGAGACTGTTGAGCCCAAAGAACATTAAGTCAACTTTCTCCTCCTTGAAGGGGACACAGATGTCCTGAGAGCAGTGGCGATTTGACTTCAGTGAGTGCCAGGCATCTCTCTCTGCATCCACACAAATCATGCACACTGGACAACCTATGTGCAAATGGTTAAAATAAGCTTGTTAACGTCGGGCTCTGTGCTGACAGCTGGGAGCCTGGAGCCTGCTTCGGATTCTGTGTCTCCCCCTCTCTCTGCCCCTCCGCCACTCATTCTCTCTCTCTCTCTCTCTCTCTCTCAAAAATAAACATTAAAACAAAATTAAAACATAAATAAATAAAATAAAATAAGCTTGTTAACATGTTGGTCATGGGTTCCCTGGCCTTTGCATGAAACAGAGCCAGCTCTCACTTCCCCTCTTTTGGGCAAATACTTCCCTTTTAATTTCTCAGTTCTGGGGTTTTTTGTTGTTTTTTTTTTTTAATTACAGCAGAGAACGAACAGCAAGTCCTTATTCTGTGAGAAAAGAGGGGCCCGAAGTGGATAAGCACTTCCAAGTCACCAGACTCCCTCTCAGGGCGTGGGCTGGTGGAGGGAACAGCTGCGGGCAGATGG